CCTCTGTTTCTTCCTCCCCCAGATGGGAAAGCTGCCTTCCACATCTTTTTGAAGTCCGAGTTCTGTGAGGAGAACATTGAGTTTTGGACGGCATGTGAGGACTTCAAGTCCCTTACGTCACAAAAAGATCTGGTGTCCAAGGCCAACACCATCTATGAGGAGTTCATTAAAAGTGAAGCTCCGAAGGAGGTAATACAACTTTGATCTTTAAAAAAAAAAACATTTTTTTTACTCTCACAGTATGTTTCTTTGCAGTTTTTTTGCTGAAGAAAAGCAAACATTTATAATTTCTTTCTTTCTCTTTGCAACAGATAAACCTGGATTTCAACACAAAAAATAGCATTGAGCAGTGTTTAAATGCACCCACTGCCACAAGCTTCCAGATTGCTCAGAAAAAAATCTACAGCTTGATGGAGAATAACTCCTACCCGAGGTTCATCCTCTCAGACCTCTACAAGGAACTGTGCGCAGTTGCCAGTGGAAAGAGCAAGCTCGTTAAGTACTGGTAAAACTACGCACCCACTCCTGAAGTCATTTGTTTACCGCTGTGACTGCACACTGGGTCCAGATAATGTTCATTCCTGGAGCTGCATCAGGATAACAGACCTGAATGCAAATTTTGAGCATGAATAGCAGCAGCGAATGGAAAATGCAAAGTAAAGTCATTTTTAGACAGTTCAGCTGTCTGATTTCAACAAGGAAACTGTGAGGTTAATATGAATATGCTGCAGGAAGCGGGCAGAGCATTTTCACGAGATGGGATTAAGGTTACATTTCCTTCACTGGGTCATTGCACACAGTTTTCTTGATGTACCATTACAAATTCATGCTATTTCAGGTTTTATGCAATTATAGACAATACAATGTTGTGAAGACTACTGGTTTAGAGCTAAGAAGTAAAAACACTGAAATACTGATCTCTGCTCACCTGAAACCGACAGTACTGTAAGAATGTATTTTTGGTCAAAATCCACTGTTAGAATTTTTTATAGGGGTCTTAAACTTCCCATGTAGCCAAACTTTTTTATTCTTCTGTATTTGCACTTGTTTACATAAGATGTGCAAGTTTAATATATGTGATAATGTCTACTGTTTCCACTGCAACTGACTGTGAGAATGTAAATACTGTGATCCTGCACCAGATGTTTCATGTATATTTTAAGCTTTTGGCAGCTGGCTTGCCTTTGGAATAAACTATTTCCACGATGCTAAAAACTTGTAATGTGTTTCTTTACAGATTAAGCAGAAAACTAAATATTAGAATCTCAGATTGCCTGTGAGAGCTTCCATCCACATGTTGATATCCTTCTAGTAAACTAGTTCTTCATTGTTTTTAGGTATATACACATTGTTGATTTGACTATGGCTTTAGCAATGTAGGGATAGATTTAGATAAAAAAAAACAAAACAAGAAATAATTTAAAGCACCAACATTTTAAGAAAGTATTTGTCATAATTTGACACGTACCATGGATGCCATGTAATCAGTAAAGTTGCCAAATCCAAGACAGCTGATGTGAATTTATCCTCAATAAGTACCAACAAATATTAGACTTAAAATTAACCACACATGGATATTTATTATGTGGCAGCCTCGGAAAATGAGCGTCATGAAGGCCAAATTGGTCTTAATTACTTATTTGCTGTACCCCTGTGATTTTAAGGTGGATAGTGATATCTTTATTGGATGAAACTTGTGCCATATTCTGTTCATTTTCAGTTCGGGACTCAACAGAGCTCAGTAGGATGCTAAAAGCTTTGGATATCGCTTTATATTCTAAGTCAGTTTTAAAAGCAACTATGACTTTAAATCCATACTATTCCTTGGACATCATGCTGTTTTTTAAGCAGTTATGATCCGCCACAAAACCACAGATGTTCTCATAAAAGCAGTTGCAGGTGAAGGATGTATATCCGATTTAGGAATCGTTTATTGTATTTTACAAGTAAAAGTGGCTGAAAATAAATGTAGCCTATGTAAAACATTTAAGATTTTCCTTTGTTGAAAAAAATAACCCAAAAAACATTTAACTCTTTGCTTTACAGTTTTTGGATGCTCTGTATAAAATCCTAATAAAAAATAAAAATAAAAAAAATTATAATGTTACACACTTTGAAAACCTCAAGGGATATAAATATTTCTATATATAGCACTACATGTGAAAATAATGCTAAAAGTCATTTCAATAATTATAGAGTAGGTCTACATTTTCCAGCAAGCTCTTAATGGCGTCATTCAAACTAAATTAGAAAGATCTAATTAAATGCCTTGCATTTTTAAATGTGACAAAAGCACATACAAAGGTACAGCGTGTACAAAGGTATTAGAAACAGTTTGCTCTGTGTTAAGTCACACGACAACATTCCTAATCTATTGGAGTACTACACTACAGCATCTTTGTTCAAGTATCATAACAACATATTTAAAGCTGTCAGAAGAGGAGATAAGCCTTCCTCCTGTCTGTCATCTGTCAGAATCCAGGACACACACTGCTGCTGTTTCTCCCCTCTCAGACCTGTGCCATAGTGCCATGCACTGCAAAGACGTTTTCTCTTGTTTCAGCAAATCAAGCGCTCTGCTCCTGCTATTATTTTCAGCTTTCAATGAGTGTCCAGGACAGTCACCTGAGTAATTATGCACATTTTACTTCACGTGCTTACTGCTGCTTAAAGCTTCATCTGGCCAGCTAAATTAGAGGGGTTTCTTATTATTTTATAACTACTGCAAATTTAACACGAAGCTTTTAAAAACAGATAATAAAGTTTTTGATTTCTCAAAATAAAAGAAATAAAGCTTGCACCTCCAGTCATGTTTTGCTGCATTCATAAAGTGATTGATGCTAATATTGCCAAAGCTGTAACACAGTCTAAACAGAACTGTCTTTAGCATTGGGCATATCAGCTCTCAGCACCGTGTTTGATAATGAGTTTCACAAATAAACTTTTCCTGACCTTCCAAGTAGGCATACCAAAATCCCATTCAGTTACGCAGCAGTCTTGCTATTTAGGATTTTATCCTTTTTTATAGCTTCTTTGATTCCTTTCTGCTTACTGTAGTTTAGCTTGTAACTCAAAAAAATATATATATTACAAGAAAATATAAGACAATGTGTTTAAAAATAGACTAAATACAGCAGTTAGGTGAGGGTAAGCAAAATAAATCCTGCTGCTTTATACTTTTGTTATTCATCCACATTCTGAGAGACAGAGTAATATAAAAGAGATGTCTTTTTTTTTCCTCAGCTGGTAATAAGATCAATGAGGTTTTCATTCGTTGTCATGCACAGACCAGGCAACAGACTCCTGGGATCAGGTCCAACAAGTACTCAAGGTGCATATGTAAACTCTGAATCTAAAATTAGAAACAGGCTGCGTCTCACTTTGGTCAGCAGGCTACAGATGCGTCAGAATGCAATGGCTTTGAGACGAACACTCTGTTCAGGAGCAGCAATTAAGGCAAATGAGCAGCTTCTCTGTAGCTTTCCATTCATGCTGATTCAATCTAAGCTTTATAAAAACAGGTTCAACACAACAGACTTTCTAAATCTATTAGCTTATTCTTTGAGCTGATTTGTTTTAGATAATGAATCTCCTTTCTTTTCTTTGATTTATGTCTTAAGGTGTGAAATCTTTCGATGTACAATAGTTATATATTAAATCTTAAAGCAGACTAAAAAAAATTTTTAAGCATGAATATTCCAAATTATTTACAGAATTGTATATTGAAAACTAACAACTGTAAAACAGGTAATGCTTAAAGATACATAAGTTATTTTAAATTTTTTTTTGTCTGCACAGCTTTGAGTACAATTCCAGCTGTTTGCTGTATGGCAGGAGAAAAGGCTTCCATTCTAATCAAAATGCTGAATAATTTGTCATCAAATATTTTGGTGATATTTGGCCTATATCTTGCATATCCTACATGTAGCGATGTATTCTCTATTGCCAAACGCATTTGCTCACCCGCCTTGAGCTTTATTGACATCCCAGCCGTAATCCATAGGGGTTCAATATGTTGGTCCAACGTTGGCAGCTTGGGAAGCTGTTCACAAGTTTTAGGACTGTGTTTATGGGAATTCTATATTTCCGGAGCATTGTGAGGTCACACATTGATGTTGGACGAAAAGGCCTGGCTCTCAGTCTCCACTCTAATTCATCCCAAAGGTGTTTTATTAGGTCTCTTTGGAGGACAATCAATTTTATCCACACCAGACTCTACCATCCATGTCTTTATGGAGCTTGCTTTGTGCTGTAGTGCACAGTGATGTTGCAAGAGGAACGGGCCTGATCCAAACTGTTCCCACAAAGTGGGGAGCATGGAATTGTACAAAATGTGTTGGTATGCTGAAAGATCCAGAGTTCCTTTCACTGGACCAGGGGGGTCTAGTACAGCTCCTGAAAAACAACCCCCAACCATAAGCCCCCACTCCACCAAACTTGACACTGTCACAATACAGTTAGACAAGTGCCTTTCTCCTGAAACCCACTCCCTGACACTCTCTGCACACTGTTTTAGAACTTGAAGTTTAAAGGCGTGATTGACTTCTTCACACTATTTGCTTCAGTAACCGCTCCGTCAGTTTATGTGGCCAAGTTGCTGTTGTTCCACAACACGTTTGTAATACAGCTGACAATTAACTGTTGGTTTGTGGGCAACTTAACTGCCTATTTCTGCCTATTTCTGTCACTCTTTTGCAATACTTTAATGTAATTTCATGTTACTCGATGACCTGATATAAATCACTCAATGATGAAAAAACAAAATGAATCAGCATTTTGTTGATGACGTAGGTATGCAAATTACATCCTGTTTGAGAGATGTCTAAATGAAATACTTTACATCAAACATGTAAACTTACTGAAAAGTCCTGAGGCATTTTAGGATGGAATGCACATAGCTGTTACAGTTCTTTAAACATAGCTCACTGTAAATACAAAAATTTGACTTCCAGGAAGTGGTTAAAAAAAGGATGCTGGGATCAAAATCCCTTCAACAAAAACCTCAAACATCTACACATTTTATTATGAAAATAAGAACAAAATAAGACCACATTTTTCCTTCAGACATGCATTAGCGCCAACAGAAACACATGGGGACATTGTGACAGGCAGTCTCTGTGCTACAAATGCCGCACAGCTCTTTCTGAATAATTCACTGGAAGCCAAAGTGTGCTGCAGGACGCCCTCCATGCTCGCTGTGATGAAGTTAACTGGTGAAGTACAGAGTCTGTTCACTGCTCACTGATGAAAGAGTGACTGGTTTTCACGGTGATTCCTTGCTTGCGTCTGATCAGAACCTTTCTGGTGAATGTTGATGTTGTTCACTTGGCCTCCTGAGCCTTTTTAGCGCTTTGTTTCTCTTTTGCCTGTTGAGAAAACCCCACACACACACTGCTGTTTAGATTGGTACAGTATCTACAGTAAAGAAAACTTTTGAACCCTTTCTTAGAAATGGACCTATTTTACAGGTGAAACTATAATATTCACCAATGATGCCCTCTAGTGAAAAAACTGAAGCATTTTTTTTTTTTGCAATTTCCATCTGTACATCTCTTAAAAAGTTATTTATCCCAAATCAAGAGCTCAAAAAAAAACACAAGCCGCCCCCAGATGGCTCATTAAATTATTCAGCATGTTTAATGTCACACATTTTAAAATGTCATGGTACTTTTGTTCTTAGACCTGTGGCACTCAGGATCAATAGGAGTTTGGAAAACTGATTTGTTACCCTTTCCACCAAAGGTATTAGCTGCTGGTACTCTGCCAACGTCTTCAGTAGCTCCATAATGAAGGGAAGGTAGTTGTGCTTTCGTCGAATATTTTCAACCTAAGAGAAACCAGATTTTTTTTTCTTTTAAACTGGGCATAGCTAACTTTTTTCAGAACAGAAACAACAACCTTTTTCGTTAAATGAATACAGATGCACTAAAACTTGAAAAGTTTAAATGATCTCTTGTTTGGCAAATTTCACTGTATTTAACAGTGACTTACCTTGTATCTTTTCAGCTTCTGGTTTTCCTCTTCAATAAGAAGCTGGTACTTTGCAATCTCTGACTGGATGGTGCTTAAAAATGTGTTGTTCTGGTCTGTGTCCATTGGCTCATCCTGAAAATAGCGTAATAGAAATGTATTTCATAAAATATTACATGATAAAATGAGAAAACAAAATGAAATCATTAGTCCCTATAATTTAGCATAAGCCTCCTAGAAAATACTGATCTGTCCCTGCAAACTTAACTTTGCTAATACCAATGTCAGCAATGAAAATAATGCTTTGCTGACCTCTAGTGGTGGTAAGCCTAAGTGTCCTAGTTTGACCACTAATACATACATAGACTGACGCTAAATTGCAATTTTGAGCATTGAAGTTCATTTAAAGTACAAAAAATATCAATTAATTATTTGACAGCCATTTTGATTTTGACAAAAATCAAACCAGGTGAAGCTTAAACTATGGTGAATTCTGGATAGAGCTTATTTTCAGACCTCTAACCTTAAATGCAAAATGTTTGTTCTTAGAGTTTTTGGCTTTAATTGATATCAACTATATATGGTTTATAGCAATTTATATATAATATATAGCGATGAACTATATATTTAAAGCATTTTGGTCAAAACCATTTTGGAAATAGGCTCTTAATCTGCAACAGCTCTAGTCTGATTCACACGTCTGTCTTATTACAACATTAAACCCAGTTTCTTAATGCAGAGTTTGAAAAATGAAGTAAAGACAGCAATTCTGGCTGGGATTGAGATATGCATTGTAGCAGGTATGGATGAACACAAAGTCATTAATATTTCTCCTGAATGTTACTGCAATCAGTTCATATCGGAAACAGAAATATGACGCAAACTGCGAAGGTACAAAAACTTGAAGGAGCAAAATGATCAGCACTCAAAACAAAAGCCGCAGTGTTAGCAAACTGAACAGTTCAGAGTGAGAATATCTAAAGTCGAAACAAAGCCAATCAACAAAACTTCAATTTCAACTTTGGGTGAGTAACTTATACAAAGAGTAACTGGGATTTCTTGAATACATTTTGCACAAATAAAAGTACAAGAACAGAATATTTTATTGGCTCAATGTCCTTAATGTGAACACATTAGTTTATTCAAATTGTACTATTAATTCTGATCATGTAAACGTTTTTGTGATTTATTAATTTATCTCCATTTTAGATTTCCTTCCAGATTTCATGTTTAAACTTATTTTTGGGTCTACAACAGAAAATACTGTAATTTTTTCACAACATCAAGGAACACAATAAATAAATGTTCATCTATTTGCTAAAAATAAAAGCTGTATTATTTCCACAATCATGCAGCCCTAAATCTAACTGAGATCATGGCTGCTGATACTATTTTTTAACGGCTATGTAGACCAATCATTTTTAATAAGATAAATGAGGCAGAGCCTAAACACTGAAACTGAACCCACTTAGTCAAGTGTATGAACTGACACCCTAAGAATGGAGATCTGAGCTATAGCTTTGTGTGAATGCTATGTATGCATACATGTGATGCAGAGTTCTCTATAATGTCCAAAATAAAATAATTCACGATAAATTATTTTGACCACTAAATAAATCAAATCCAAATCAGAGATAACATTTATCCTGTTTTTCTTACCTTAATAAATCAAAAACTGGCAAATTTACTATTACTAATCTCGTTGTGTCTTTATTTTGCTTTTTTTTTTTTTTTATACAAAACTCTTTCTTATTAGACAAAATAACAACCTAAACAGTGAACATGGCAGACAGGAGGTCAGAGTAAACACAGCTTTACTCATTTTGAATTTAAGACTGACTTATTTGATATATCTTTACTTCTGGGGAAAAAGTTATATCAAGGCCTCAAAATCAGAAAAGTAATATTATGTCTCATTGTGACTTACCTCTGTGAGCTGAGCCTGGAGCTCTGCAATTTTCTTCTCATATACCATCTTTCTGTCAGAAACAATGGCCATCAGGTTGAATCGGATCTCTCCTTCACTGTACCTGAAGAAGGAAAAGACAAACGTTGATGGAATTAATTCAGCTTTAGTTATATATGTAAATAAACAACAGATTTACATTATTGTTTACTTTTGTATTCTCTTCTCAATCACTGGGCGAACTGCACTGATCCAGTCATCTTGGTTGCAGACTCCTGTGACATAATAGTGATATCTATTAAAACCTATAGTTTCCAGAAGTACATTCATAACTATGAAGAGCTGCAGTTTTAGAAACTAACAAGTATGTCAAAGAAAAGGATAATCAGGATCTCATGTTGAAAACATAGGTTTATTCATTTATATTATTGATTAACCACATGCACGGCATCTCAATCACTGTAATATCCAGAAAGGGGAAAGTTATGTTTACCCAAGTCTATGGGTCCTTCCCGAAGCCCATCCAGCTCATACAGTCGGCCGTTTACAGGAACATAGCTCACAAAGTGAAAAGCATCTTCATCCTTTGCTGAAGACTTTGCATCGAATTCAAACATCTGCTGCCTTCAAAACACAATGAAACCCAGTCAGACAAATCTAACATTAAGTTAGACACAAAAAAAAAAATCACTCAATGATCATCATATCATATAAAACTGTAACTGGAGCATGTAACAAAAGTAATTTCCCTCTGGGATTATTAAAGTATTTCTGATTCTGAATACTCCTGATTTTCACATATAATAGGCATGCATACTTCTCTATTAATTGGAGATTTTCCAGCTCATATAATGATATTTAGATTAGAATAATCATCTTCATTGAGGTTTGTTATGAGGTTCAACTTGTAGGAGTGTGCCTAGTTTTTAATCAAAATCTAATGTGTTCATGATTCAATGCTCTGCTATGACCCTTAGCGCTGACCCCTAACCTCCCTCTGCCTCAGAATAATAAAAAGAATTAAGGTTTGGTTCCACCTAAGGCTTGTTCTTTACAACAATATTGTTTTCATTGTGGGCAATGTTTGCCGTTAATAGAACTTGAAGTGGATGCTGGGGTTACGGATTGTAGACTGAAAGTCTTGTCAATAATAACTCTAGATAAGAATGTAATTTACCAAATTGCAAGTGGCTAAAAATAAACATCAGGTGAGCAAACACAGCTTCTCCAGTTGGGAATTAAATAAGCAAGCACTCACCTGGCAAAGCTGTTGTGAACTTGTCGAATCACTTCAGAGTTGCTGAGAGCGAGACCTTTCATCTGAGGAGCAAAGAGAGAAGATCATCAACTAAGGCCAGCTGAACTCTGGCCTTAGAGGTCAAGTAGTTCATCCTTTCTTTCATTACACGAAAACAAAACAAAAACACAGCCATTAGAATAATAAAACTACCGTTTACGTACAGCTCCATCAAAACTCTGGGAAAACTCTCTGAACTCCGTCAGTGTGTCTCCCAGCACCATGTCGGGGTGGGAGCAGTTGAGCAGAACACTGATGATCGCCTGGGTGGCACATGCATTGTTTATCACCTGGAAATGGAAAACAGAGTATAAATCATACAAGTTGAAAAACCCAGAGAACATCCTCTGGTAAATATTAACAGGCCTTTACAGAATCCTCACAGTTTTCCCCTTGTTGGAGGACTTAAAGGCTTTCATGTAGTTGCAGAGACTGTGTGCATAATGTAAGCAGAGTGGATTCTGTATGCATGTTTCAGCCTTCATAGCAAAACCATTTCTATTTCTCATAACAAAGATTTATTTCCCATACTACCATGGCATCAGGAGGAGAGCAACTGAGACCCTGCAGGTGCTTGAAACTGGCTGCTCTGAATGGTGCCTAAATAGGGTCTAACTTAGTCTAAGTTTGTTCTTTAAAGGCCTTGAAGTGTTTTCAGGAACAAACTGCAGCATGTAAATAAAGAGGAACACCAAACAGGCCAGGACTGAGTTATAAAGAAGCTTAAAGTAGGGTTAAATAAATGTTCTAAGCTTTGAACATCTAAGAATTAAACTAATGATGTAAATGAAAATAACTTGACTGAACTAATATTAACTGAATCAGCTGTGCTGAACCCGAGAAACATTGTCTGTGTCCAAACGTCCGTCCCCTATATAGTGGTTACACCTTTTTATATGTCTAGTAGATGAAAAAGTAGTGGACTGAAAATTTCCCACAGTGCATCTTGAAAACTAGTGATCATCCATGGTCACTAGAGAAGCAGATATACCCCAGAATGCTTTGCAAGAGCTCTCATCGCAAATCATGCGGGGAGCCAGAGTCACGTGATGGGGAGCAATAAGTAGTGATCATCTGTCTGAACGGCCAGTTATCTGAGTTCACTATGAAGTCCCCCATATTTACCCACTGTATTTAGTGATTGAGGGGTTAGGATGGCCGTTAGGACACAGCTATTGAAAACCTGTAGGACAGCAGCCCACAAGGACCTACTTCGGACATGCCTAATCTAAACTGACGGGCAGCACACAGGAAGAACTGCTAAAATAATAATTATTATTAACTCTGGATTAGCTGCAGTTATACTAAGCTTAGGTGGAGTCAACCAGTACCTGCCCTATACAGAACATCTCAGAAGGTTTTGTAAAATGTCCTAATTTCTGGCTTTTCAGAACCCATTCCGAGTAAGCAGGAAAGTCTGATATTTTGCAGGAATGAAGTAAATGAACAAAAATGTAAAAAAATATATATCAATATCATGCAAAACAAGTATTGCATCTGGATACAGCGTTTGACTATCAATTCTTTTCAGAGTACGTCTCCTTTTAAAAACTCTAATTCTGATATTTGTGGTGCAGAGGCAACGAGCAACAGCCAGTCCTGTAGCCTAAATAGGTCTGTATTATTTTACTCAACATGAGAAGAGCAAAATAAACCATGACTTTATCAACAAACAGAACAAATAAAATCAAAACAAGGGCAGGAAGGGAAGCTCCACCATTACTGAGAGTAGAAATCAAAACAAGATGATTTTAAAAAGCAAAACTTGCTAAAAGCTGCCTGCTCTTTTGTCAGGGTTTATCAAAAATGTGATGTTTCACCTGTATGTATTCATTTTTATCTTCAGAGCTAGTTATAAGGTTTTTACTGATTTATTACAGTGATATTGAACAACATCTTTCAGGCTTTGGTGCCTTTTCCTTGTTAAACAACTATGACTGAATATTAATCACGAAATAAGGAGGCAGTGGCAGAGAAACTCTGAAAGAGGAAATAATGGACAGAGAAATATGATATGAAAATCATGTAGCTCTAGAAATATATATTAGTTAAATAACTATTAAAATGTTATACTGGAAGAGCTTCATAGACGCTGCAAAATAATGTTTTCTAAAATTGCACAGCAACCATTATGGGTTTTTCTGTGTTTTTTCCTGAGACTTTCCTATTGTTTAGATGAATCCTTAAAATCTAAATGAGGCCCAACTATTTATACACTGTAACCAATTTAATATTAAAGGGTGTTTATATAAAGTGCGCATGCAAAACTTGACGTTGGACCTAAGATTATAAATTCAAAGTTCGCCAGAAAAATTTCCAAGTGATTTGCTAAACATTGCAGAGTGTAAGATCTTCACCAGAGGCTGAAAAAGGTCCACAGCCCAGCAAGTCAAGATGACTTTTTTTGGTTACTAAAATGGTTCAAAGTCCTGACCTAAATCAAATTAAAAATCAAATATTTACAATTTTATGTTTTAAAAAAAAAAACTCATGCAAAGAGGTACTAATGTTAGATTCTAGATCAAATTGCTGGTAAAGACAAGCTTCAAAAGAGTATAATTGTAACAAATGGTTCCATATAGTTTTGACTCGGGATCGATTATAAAAAGGTACTCCTTTAAATTATTAACAACTAGAAAATGAAATGCATTTCCAGTAATGTTTTAAACTTAGCAGTTATGCAATGAATGCATAGCAGAATCACTATTTTTGACAAACAAGTTACCATTAAAAAAAAAAAAAAAATTTAGTTTTTTTGTTTGAAGCAAATTAGATGGAAAGACTTTATATTTTCTATCTGTGAATTTGTCTAACTGAGAAGCCCAAACCTTGTACCTGTTTAGCAAAGAAAATGTGATCAAGCCTTGAATCTTGAACAATTGATCCTGCTGGTTCTTCCCCTGGCTGCCATTTGAAGAGAAAAATCAAGCCGTGGACTGGCCTGGGAAAACAAAACAAAACTGTTATTAAAGGTCCTTACAAGGAGGAGGCGTGTTAAAGGTAGAAAAGTGCCACACATAGACAGACATACTTCAGGTTCTCAAAGTTCTCAGGCTCCATGCTCCAAATCTCTTCAACCTGAGCTCCTTTGCAGCCTAACAAATAAAAACCAACATTATTCCGTTATTTGGCTTGTTGATAAAAGGCCTAGCTTAAAATGTGGATATAATATCCAGCCTGAGTGATAGCAGGCTCACGTTAAGAAAGGCTTGTTTTTTTTTTTTTTTACGCGCCGTAGTTTTTGAAAGCTGAGTAATGCTAGCTATGCAACACTGTAAAATGAAGTTAGCTACCGTTACACAGTCAACGCATGCAAATTAGACAAATAACCGAAAAACAGATGGGACTATAAGGTTCTCAGCTAAATATATGTCCGTTCAATGAAGGATATTGGTCAGAAGTAGCTAATTTAAAAGCTAGCTTTGCAACATCTAGCTAGCGCTGACGCATAGCCACATCACATTGAATGAGCTGCCAACGTTCCGGAGAAAACACTTACCGAAACCTTTAATGAGCTCGGTGAACACTCCGGGGTCGCTCTCCATCAGACACCATTCTCCTGCGCTTCCAGACATTTTTCCAACTCACAGTTTAACCTTTAGATCATAAATATGTATCAAAAGCTAATAGCTTAGTAGTGCACGCGCTAGCTAGGCTAATTAATTGTAGCACAGTGACCTCACTGCGATGCGGTGCACTGTCGGCCAGCTGGGTATGCGCGATTTGATGTAGGGGACGTACCGGCGGGGTGCTACAACACCGCAAAGGAATGTTAAAATATAAAATACCCGTCCGATTCTCTCTAAAAGTCAAATATTGAAATGCATATGCATGAATTTAAATAATAATAGATATATTATCAAACTGGAGGAATTTCAAGAGCCTGTAATTTTATTTATCCAAGACTTGTTTATAGCAACACTGTATCCAGCATAGTCTTAGGGAGTTGATGACCCTCCAAACTTAATTGGAATGATAAGTTAAGTTAGTAAGTTACTACATTTTTGGAAATAAAAAGTGTGAGGAAAAGTATGAGGGGAAACAAGAGGATCTATGCCAAAGTTCACTGAACCTGCATGACATTAACATGTCATGTACTGTTAGGAGTAAATGCTTCAAGACCCACCACTAAAAAAACCTCAGCTTCTATAGCTGAGTTTTATTGCATGTTTCCAAGCAATACAAGGCCTTGTCCATATAAGACTCAAACTCACTGCGGATCCAGACATTTGAATTGAGAAAGCTTCCTGGAGAGGTGGCGAAACGTCTTCAAATCTTGAAAACCAAGTCCAGTGGATATTTTTTGAATTTTTTTGAATTTTTACGGAACTCAGCTTCTATATTATTTTTTGTAAAACTAACTCCTGAAACAGAGGCAGGGTGAAACTCATATCTTGGCTAAGAAGAACAAGGACTGGATTATTGATCTGCTGTTCAAAGCTCTCAGATGACAGCAAATTTGGCATTTCATTTGGAAAACCAGGATCCAACAATGTAACGAGTACATTTCTCCACTGTGAGATCAATAAAGTAAATCAATCAATATGACTGATATCACTGATACACATCAATACAAACATCATAGTAAGCTGTGGTTGCCCCTAATTGCATCTTGTATGAATAAAAAAAAATGCGTATATTGCAGTTATGTTATTTTTTAATGTCATATTTTTTCTGATTGTTCTTTATCGTTCTCTCTCTCTCTGCAAGTGTAGATGCAGACCCCTAGTGTGTCATCTTGTATTTTATTGATCCTTCTTCCCTTTATCAGCTTCTCCCCTTTGTTTTGCCTCTTTCCTTTTCATTACTGTCAATCAGATATGAATATCTCATAAATGTTTACATATATCTGTATATCAAGTAGAGCGTCACATTGAAAGCCATTATGCTAAACTTGTGAAAAGTAAATCTGGGATCACCCAATCCTGTTGCAGTACTAAAGTTTAAGCCGGGACATATAGCTGGGAAGTAACCAAGAACTGCAGGACACATCGCAGACAACAAACATGGCAGCGCAGGATAAGGAACGCATCGGATACCTGCTGCTATTACATCTGTATACAGATTAGGGCTGAAACAATCGGATTAATCATGATTAGTCGACTATTAAAATAATCCTCAACTAATTTAGTAATTGATTAATCGTTAAGTTGAGTAATATAGAGACTCTAACACATGCCTGCAGCTTACTGAGGAACAGTAATTATGCAAAGGTTGTAAAAAATATTTAAACATTTTGAAATTAAGATAAAAATGTACAATGTCTGGTTTAATTATGATTAATCAAAAAATAATTGATATATCTATGAAAATGCAAAATAATTGTTAGTTGCAGCCCTGATCGAGATCCAAATTCAATATCTAATAGAGGAACTGTATGTGAAATGATAAGTAGTGGTTTCTCATGCCGTCTGACGCCATTTCATCTATTACTGTGATTGGCTAAAGCCAAACTGCTTCGCTTTATCAGCTAGGGAGGTTCTACTGAACAACCCTCCTTTTCCCAAATGGATTTGTTTGACGGAATCCCAGATTAATAACATATAGAACTAAATCTGAGTGCTTTACATTATCAATATGGCATGCCTTGCTAAGTCAGAGCAATTCCCTATCAATAAGTTATGTAGTTCTTTCTGTTAGAAAGAACTATATAACGTATTGGTACTAATACTTATTGATACTAATTCCTGGTTTAATATCAAGGGTAATATTGTGCTAAACCAATCAGAAATCGTGTCTTATTTTCCCTCAAGAGAAAACCTGTGTTGTAATTAAAACAAAAATGAGAGACAGTGAAAGAAAGAAAGCTTTTCTATTAATATTCGTAAAGTCTCAGTAGTCTCTTAACCTTTATTCCACAAATGTAGGCAGCCGTTAATGCATTTATTGTACAGTGCCATCACATACTTTTACAGTAGGCTGACCTTTCTGTATTTAGAAAAATAAATAGTTTGTCTCCTGGATGACTCTTAATTACTGAAAAAAAAAACTTCACCACAAGATTCTACTTCTTTCTTACATGTTTATTAAACAATAAACATATAATGTACATAAACAAACATAATTCCTTATGTTAAGCCTCATCTAAGGCCATTAACCCTTTGCCATGCATTCCTCTAGTAAACATTCAATTAGACACAGCTTTGGCTATAATTTTACAAAACAGAAAACACCAACCACTGTATTTACTTAAATATATTTTACTCTTCATTATTTCCATGAAGAGCAGTATAGTGAAGTGTGCATGTGAAATATTCACATTTAAGTCTTTTAACAGTTTCAGGTATTGCAATACGACTATTCTCTTTTTCTTTACATTTTGTATTACAACAAAAGCAGAAACAACTGAAGTCCTTCCAGTGTCTACTGCTTTTTTAGGGAATTTCAATAAAAATAGACTGATTTAAGAAAATCCAAGAAAATAAACATCAGTCATTTTCTTGGTTTTGATGAACAAAGAGCACTGACATGCTCAAAAAATGTATAAATTTTAACATAAAATTAAATAAAAGAGGATTTAAAAAGGCTACTAAAACGGCTAGTCATTTAGAGGGTTCAAAGTGTCCACTGCTCGATCCTTCGGCAGCACAGCAGGGGGAGCACTGCTCGATGAGGGGCAGCAACCTGCCCTGCTTATAGAGCTGTTTGGTGTCAGAGCCGCCTCCAATGCAGCTTCCATTGATGAAAACTCTGGGCACCTTAAAAAAAATAAACAATGTGAAAAAAAAGAAGACTATCAATGTTTGCAATAATGAAAATAAAGAGGGATTAAGCTTTAATAGATAACTGCTAAATAACTATAATTAGCAGTTTAGCAGTTAGGGGATAATATATATAAGAACTAAATATATCTTAGCAATATCTCAAACTCACATCAAATTAGACCGTGTCACTGGAGCTTCAAAAGCTTCCAGTTTATATTCGGTCTAAGCCTTGGTTGTAATTAGATTGTTCCTGATCATTCTTACTTCTTACACAATTCTTACACATTGCAAATAATAGTCATTGTAGTATTAATGTTGCAAAGGTTTACTTAGTACACCAAATATTACGGCTTAGGATCCATATGCAGATATACAATTCCCTTGTTGGATAGATTCTCACAGCAGAATACACTAAGATAAGGATCACAAAGAGCAACGGAAAAACTGTGCAAGCCATAATAAAGGGGGTTTTAGCATCCATCATTATTAAGATAACAACCAATAATGTTCCTATTGCATAATACCCATAAAATGATGCTGCCCTAATCCTCATATATTATTTTTTGATAGACAGAAACAATGCAAGTCCAATAGTTGATATGTGGACATCTATCATCATAAAAATACCAAAATGTGCTTTGGAAAAGCTTAAGAAGGTCTATCGAAAACCTAACTGTTTAAAATAGGAGACTGTGTGAGAAAACTAAAACTGCAAGACGAGTTTTACAAATTTTACCAAGAAGAAAAGGCAACCATCGGATCAGAATCATTAATTGTTGGTGGCTACAGAAAAAAAAAAAAAGTGTGATTAAGGAAAAGTTACTAATGCAGGCCTGGGCAATAAGGCTTTATAATCCAATCTCAGACTTTGTTCCTACAAAATCGATGTTTCATAATAAAAAATAACAACATATACTGTTTCAAAAACTAGTTTTGATATCAATCATCCCTTCTGGGAAGTTACCTCAATTTGAACAGAAATTTTATTTAAGCAGTGAAGCCTGCTTGTAAAATGGTCATGTTTAAAAACAAACAATGAAAGTATGACACACTACATGTTTGCAGGGAGTGGTATCACAAAGTCAGATCATTTATCAGCTGTGATGAACTGATGTGACTCAGAGACATGAAAGCCCAAAGAAATGGATCGGTGGCAAAACAAAATCCAGAATTTACTAAATTGAAATCTTCATAAAGAAGTGAAATTGGTTTCAGGGTTAATACAGGAATGAGTAACTAACTGAATGCTTTGTAATGCTCTTGGAAATAATTTTAATGCCATCAACAAGTAAACAAACAAGTTATTTCTGATATATCTGACAAAATTGTCTTTATAATTTTTTTTAAATAAAGCATTTTGAATACCACGATAATCACATTTAATGAATTTTAATGCCAATTAAGGCCTTAATTTAAAAAATAATAATTTAATGACTTTAAATAATTTTTAATGACCTGTGGAAACCCTGGGTTAATTGATAAAATCGATTAATGACCCAGCCCTAACTAAAGCTCATGATAATGAACTTTGATCATTTTGACAACATATTGAGTAAAGAGAATCCAAAAATTAAAATCACTTTTCAATTAATTCAAACCCGTGGCTTCTATTCTTTTTTAGAAAATATTTGCTTTGAGAGCTTCCGCTTTATTTATTACATGTTCTCATCAGTCAATATAATTACATTTTAAAGCACGCTGTTAAGCATACGTCTAAAAGAGTTGTGTTTTTTTCCACCCACATATCTTTTTAAATAAGTTTATAATTGCTGACCATCATTTTGTGTTTACAGTCATGTGCCCCAAGTTAAATTGCCTCCACTAATTTGAAGTCAGGACTTCTTTCAGTTACAAGAAACATGTTGATAAAATAATAAGATTACTTTTAAAACCACAGTCCTTCGAGGGGAAAGATTACATTTTGGATCAACTGCAGCTGAATTATTCCCTATTTTATTGTTTGTTTGCTAAAATTCTGCTAAAACTAACTGATCCCTAAATGTCAGATTTTAAAATCCAACACTTACTGTTCTGGCGCCAGTCATTTGTGCCAAGGCCTCTTGAAGTTTCCTGCCATCATTATGTTGGTCCAGTTCAATCACCTTGTAGTTGGCACCAATTTCATTAAACACATTTTTGGCCATTTTACAATAGGGGCAGGTGCTCTTCGAAAATATGACAACACAGTTCTGTGACACCATCTCCTAAAAGGTTAAGAAAAGATAGGCTGTTATAACAATTTCACTGAACAGTTCCAGGATATATTTGGGGTCCTTAACTAGAGATTAGCATAAACTAGACACTTTAATCAAAATCTTAAAATCTATTTTATTTAAGTCATTTTTCTGTGTGACTAGTAACATTTGAGAGAGATTTCAACTCACTCCAATAATGGCTTTAATTGAAAACTCAAAAGAAAGAAAAAATTGGCCACACCCTGCAAGATGAAAATAATAGATGTCCAGACAAACTATTACAAGAGCAGGTATACATCTTAAGAAACAACTCTAACGTATATGTCTTTAAAAATACTATAAACTCTCAGTTTTTATAGGCTGCTGTCATCCACTGCACGTTACATTAACTGTAACAAAGAAGGAGGTAGATTTGTAAACATCTTCTTACCTGAACAAGCTGAACACAGGCTGTGCTGGTGAGACCCCCAGAATTGGAGGAGGTAAAATTCCCCATCCTGAAAAAAACACGACAAAGAACAACAAATTAAGGGCAACAATCAGACTATGAGATCTAACACATAGAGTAAGGTATAAATCCACTTAATGACCTTAGAAACGGGATAAAACCGAAGGAGGGCAGGAAAAGAAGACAAAGCACAAGAGCGAAAATAAAAAAACAAACCATCATAGTCTATCATTAGTAACACCATGCATTCACTAGTATTGCTTTACTCAAAAGCCTTTCTTCTACTGCAGTAAGGTTTAAGAGGTCGATAATCCCAGATTAGCCACCTCACAGCACTGCTGGCACATCAGTGCTCATTAAGATCTGCTAACTTAAGTTCACTATCCAGACCACTCTGGGGCCCTGCTATTTATCGTATACATTAAATGGTTGATACATAAACTGCCAAGAGGCGTCTATTCTTTTAGAGTAGACTGCAAACTGTATATGTAAATGGAAAATTGGTTTAAAAAGTGAATTACTAAAACTGCAAAATTAAAATAATTGTTGACAGCAAAGCTAAAGCTGACACCCAATTTAAAGAAAAGGTATAAAACTGATTTTATGAGCTGTATTTCCCATTAAAAATTGACACTAGTGAATGCTGGTTAAAATCTATGCAGTGCATAATCTACATACACTATATTGCCAAAAGTATTTGCTCACCCATCCAAATTATTGGAATCAGGTGTTCCAATCACTTCCATGGCCACAGGTGTATAAATTCAAGCACCTAGGCATGCAGACTGTTTTTACAAACATTTGTGAAAGAATGGGTCGCTCTCAGGAGCTCAGTGAATTCCAGCGTGGAACTGTGATAGGATGCCACCTGTGCAACAAATCCAGTCGTGAAATTTCCTCGCTCCTAAATATTCCACAGTCAACTGTCAGCTGTATTATAAGAAAATGGAAGTGTTTGGGAACGACAGCAACTCAGCCACGAAGTGGTAGGCCACGTAAACTGACGGAGCGGGGTCAGCGGATGCTGAAGCGCATAGTGCGAAGAGGTCGCCAACTTTCTGCAGAGTCAATCACTACAGACCTCCAAACTTCATGTGGCCTTCAGATTAGCTCAAGAACAGTGCGCAGAGAGCTTCATGGAATGGGTTTCATGGTCGAGCAGCTGCATCCAAGCCATACATCACCAAGTGCAATGCAAAGCGTCGGATGCGGTGGTGTAAAGCACGCCGCCACTGGACTCTAGAGCAGTGGAGACGCGTTCTCTGGAGTGACGAATCGCGCTTCTCCATCTGGCAATCTGATGGACGGGTCTGGGTTTGGCGGTTGCCAGGAGAACGGTACTTGTCTGACTGCATCGTGCCAAGTGTAAAGTTTGGTGGAGGGGGGATTATGGTGTGGGGTTGTTTTTCAGGAGCTGGGCTTGGCCCCTTAGTTCCAGTGAAAGGAACTCTGAATGCTTCAGCATACCAAGACATTTTGGACAATTCCATGCTCCCAACTTTGTGGGAACAGTTTGGAGCTGGCCCCTTCCTCTTCCAACATGACTGTGCACCAGTGCACAAAGCAAGGTCCATAAAGACATGGATGACAGAGTCTGGTGTGGATGAACTTGACTGGCCTGCACAGAGTCCTGACCTCAACCCGATAGAACACCTTTGGGATGAATTAGAGCGGAGACTGAGAGCCAGGCCTTCTCGTCCAACATCAGTGTGCGACCTCACAAATGCGCTTCTGGAAGAATGGTCAAAAATTCCCATAAACACACTCCTAAACCTTGTGGACAGCCTTCCCAGAAGAGTTGAAGCTGTTCTAGCTGCAAAGGGTGGACCGACGTCATATTGAACCCTATGGATTAGGAACGGGATGTCACTTAAGCTCATATGTGAGTCAAGGCAGGTGAGCAAATACTTTTGGCAATATAGTGTATGTGCTGGATGTAGATTATGTAAAACAGATTCTAAACATTTAGTATTTATTCATAAAAATTCAGAACATTATATTTGATGACTTCTAATGTTAGCGGACAATCCTGGATTAATTCAACTTTAATGCTTGGATTCAGACCTGGTCTAATTTAATCTACACAGCTCACATTATTTCTAAATCAATTTACAGGTTTGTGAAACTTTAAAACAAGCAGCTTAATTAATAAACACATTCTATAAACAATTGATTTTTTCAAACCTCTACTTGTACTCTATCTGAGGTGAAACTTAATATTACTGCGCTTAAAAGTTAATAAACTATATTTAGAAGAAAATGTTTTCAGTGTGATCCGGTCCTGTCCACATGGGACTGGTTTAGGTGGTGTTTCACTTTTATAAGATCTTATGTAACGTGGTCTGAGTCTGAAAATATGTTTCTTATACTGTAACAACCAGAATAACATTTGTGAGAATCACCGGCTGTGTTTCAGAACATTAGTAACTTTTACAACAGTTGAGACCTTATTTTCCTCATTTACGACCTGTATTCGAATTAGAAATTAAACATCGTCCTTACTAACAATCTGACTAAAGCGAGGAATCAAAGCTAGTTTCGGCGTCTCTGACAGCAATCTCCAAAAAGCTGCTGAATGGTTTGCTAATACCAAGTAAACCATTAAAAAAGGGAGCATTAAAACGAGGAAATATAAATGTTAAGTTTGGTTGATATTGAAGCGGGAATGACCTTCTGCAGCCTGTCCAGCCCACCCTACGAAGACATTCTGCCCGGATGAATGTGGTGAAAAAAGAACAAACGGCGAGTAAAGACTCGAGTTTTTGCCCCGAATGAAACATGCGGTTAGTGTATAAGCAGCTCTGGAGCGACACACCACACAGTTTAAGGCTTTCCATCTGCCTTTGCCCCTTGTTGACACAGTTTTTTTTATCAGAATCCCACCTTACGTGAAGACCGGATGTAGCGTCTTTCTTCTTCTTCGGTTAGTGTTGGCAGGCGCTCATGGATATCTATGCTCACTACCGCCACCAACAGGTTGGAAAGGGAAGCAAACGTTCACGGACAACAAACATTTAGTAGCATTACCGCCACCTACTGGTATGGAGTGTGGTTCGTGATGGACTATCTACTAATAAACATATATATAATTTCTAAGGAAAAAAATAAAGAAAAAAAAAATAAAACTTATATACATATACACATACATAACTTTGTATTCTACCAGTCTATATCATACACACATTCACCTTCTCTATAATCAAATTCTATGAAATAATTTAGTTTTCTTTAAAAATCGAATCATTATTTGTATATGTTTACACCCCAAATTCTTCCTCAAAATATCTAATAAATTTATCTTTGTCTTAATACATTCAAACTCTCTTCTCATACATCTTCTCTCGCGTTCATATTTATGACATTCATGTTCTATTGTTTCATATTTTCCACAGTAATCACAATTGCCAGTAGTATACTTTTGAATTTTGAAAAGTGTATAATTAAGTCCTGTATGCCCAAATCTTAACCTTATTACTCTCTCCTCCTTTCTATTTTGTCTTCCATTTCTTCTTTTTCCTACTATCTTCTGAATTTTATAAAACCATCTTCCTGTTTTTTTCTTCATCCTACCTTTTTTGTCATTTTTCCATACATTTTTCTTTAATAATACTCTTTCCCTCAAATTTACTTGTTATGACAACTCTTACAAGAAGGACTGTCTTCGCTCAAATGTCGAGCATTATGTGAAGTTACACTTTGGCTCTGGTTTGACAAATTAGAAAATATTTCTTTCTGAAACAGGCTGTTGTATGACGACATCATTCTCGTAATATTACAACTTTATTCTCGTAATGTTACAACTTTATTCTCAAAAATAAATAAATCTCTTACTTAGCTGAAATACTCCGTCGTGGACTTTGAATGTTTAAATCCTATGTTTATTTTCACCAGTATTTCTGTGTTCAATGTTTGTCAATTGTTTTGATTTTTTTTCATTGTACAGTAATAATTTTACACCATGTAATAATTTGCCTGATACTTCAAACCTGTCAAGTAATTGTGAACATTTTTGTATTTCATAACAACTGCAGGAAATTTCCTAAAACCCTGTTGCCCATTTAGTATTATTTTACAACATTTCAGTCACAAAACATGTTGCAAATAAATGTAAATGTAAACTACATGTGCAACGTTTCCACATTACACCACATATTGTACCAAGCTTTAGTTCAACATTTAACTGTTTATTCTGAAAATTTCTAAGGTTAAATTAATCTGCATTTAAACCTTCTTTCCAACTAAGCCTACAGTCCAAGGCACATAATATATATCAAAACATAAGGGAGAAACAGGATATCTCATAGTGAGTGAACTAGTAAACCTTTTTAATGTGGGACTAGTGACAAAAAATAATGATCAGAATGGTGCAGCTTTTGTTGCACCGTTGTTGATTGCTTCAGATGTTCTGTTCTGTTTTTTGAGAGATGAGGGAAATGAGTTGGATCTATTGCTGTGATGTAACTCTATTCTGACATTTCATTACTACTTCATCCAATTCTAAATTTGACTAAATGTTCTTAGGTGTCTAAGAACATCTCTCATTTTTTCAGATAACCAGCTCAGGAGATTGTTATTGCGCTGCCTTAAGTTACTCTTTTTTTAATGCCTTTCTTTCCATCCACACTTGAATCTTCACATTTTACAAGATCTATAATATACATTTCAAGTCACTTAAATTAAGATTAATTTATATATGATTTGATTTATATATGATTTGATTGAAAAGAAATAATAAAAAAATTGCAAAATGCATTACAAATCTTCCAAAAGTTTATAAATAAATAGATGTTCCAAATCAGACAACTTATAATGTCTCTGCATTGCAGCCTTGTCTGTCTTTGTCTTTTTCCTTTTCAGCTGTCTGAATATTTTATTTATTTGTTTTACTCACACTATATCTTGCCAACCTCGATAAAGCTGCTCTCATATAGATATTTAGCTAATACTCAGAAAATAGGAATTGAAATGGACACTCGTTTTTTAACACTTTGATTAAGAAATATGTTTCATATTTACAATTACTTAGGTCAGAAAAGAAGCCAAAAGAGTGTTTATTAAGCTTGATGTCTATATCAGCACAATATTTGTCTAATTTCATTTAAAATATTTGGATTTTTGGTTTAAAATATGATTAAAGATTCAATCCAATATTTTTTGTTCTCAAAACCTTCATTTATGTTTAAATAAGCTTAAGTATACTATCCAAATATATACATACAGCCCTCTGCAACAGGGTAATCTTACAAATACATATATAATAAATAATTCTTAGTTTTTGGTCTCTTGGATGACGCCGTCTCAAACCTCCAAAGGCATTTACTTACTAATGAATTATACTCTGGTCTGCAAGTTTTTATTCTGTCCCATATGTCATGAACTTTACATGAAAAACATTAAATTATAGTTTAGCTGTGGGGACTGCTCTAGAACCTCTGGATATGATTTTAAGAAAAATAATCAATAAAGGGCCTTACTATGAAAAAAACCCCAACATATTGAGGTATTTCTGTAC